ACACCGTGTTTCCGATAGGTCATACTGCACATGCTACTGCAAAGAAAGATCTACAGTACGTAAAAGCATTGCCCTTTCCCTCCCCTCCCCAGTGAACTAATCGTGGGATGCCTAGACTAGAGTCGTTTGTAGATTGTGAAAAAATGCACAGACTCATAGCTCTGACCTACTCGCAGGACATACTGTCACGCAAGGTTCGAGGTGCTTTGAAATGAATGTCTGTTTGATGCGCACGATGTAATTAATATCTATTGTTGAACTGGATGAGTAAAAATCCCAGGATTTCTTTTTTTTCCCCCGAGAGTCTGATGTCGGTTGTCCGTTATAAAAGTATTCGTTTTCGAGTACAGAAATAATATATCATCGCTATAGTTAATGCTGATCCAATCTCTAAGTTTTGCATTTCTTTTGAAAAGTGAGCTTGTTAGCTCTTGCATTTTCATACGAATAAGCCTGCTAATGGTTAGCTGACTGTGTTTATGAATGAACGCATTGCACAAACAATGACCAATGTAATACTGCAAGCTTCACCAGGACTACACTTTTCAACACTACAACTACTAGTATCTCATAGCACACTAGAAGTTCATCAAAGATCACTGAACTAATTTTAGATTTTAGACAATAACGCAAAGAGCCCCAAGCACTATTAGATCTAATATGAGGTTGTGAGCTATCATACGATAATCTATACTTTATTGGTCCAGCATTGGACAAAACATGCAGTGTCCCTTCACTTTACTCGCTGTGTGACAAAAAATACAAAATGCACACACACAACCAACATTATTGCAACTCTCTCTCTCTCTCTCCTTCTCTCTCTCCTTCTCTCTCTCTCTCTCTCTTTTCTTTCTTTCTCTCTCTTTTTCACTATCTCCTTTTCTCTCTCTCTCTCTCTCTCTCTCTCCTTTTCTCTCTCTCTCTCTCTCTCTCTCCTTTTCTCTCTCTCTCTCTCTCTCTCCTTTTCTCTCTCTCTCTCCTTTTCTCTCTCTCTCTCTCTCTCTCTCTCTCTCTCTCTCTCTCTCTCTCTCTCTCCTTTTCTCTCTCACTCTTTTTATTCACCACTCCTTACAAAATAATGACACACAACATGACAACTGTAACTGTAAGGAAAAACACGGGGAATAAACGTGAAATAAAATGAAAAATGTGATTATGAGAGTGAAAACTACTTCTAAGATCGTACCACACATTAGCCTGCATCTTCAAAGAGAGGAACTCGGATTACTTGCTTTGTGGGCTACACAAAAATCAAGAGGGTTCAGAAACAGAACTAAATCTCGTCAAATACAAAAGCGAATCACATGGTTCTGTCAGTGAAAGGAGTGATGGATAAAAAGAGTCAAACGGCTGTCGATTTGAAAGAAGAAACAGCGGTGATCGTAAACTACTGTTGGAGGTTACATATCGCGCGGCATTCTGCAACGGAGTATTGATGTCATATTATTATTTTTAGCAACGGGGAATCGTTTGGTCAAAGACGACCCAAATTTTGCAAGAAGATGAGTCCTCCGTTTTGCACATGATTGTTCAACTGCCAAAAATACGCAGATCTTGATCGTCTTGATCGTTTAGGGATTTGAAAGAAGAGGAGCTTGGGAGAACAACGATACTAAACATGATAGGGTCATACGGGGGCACGCAGTAGTTGTCATGGTCAAATTATAGGATAATCTGAAGAAAACGCGCTAACTTTTGACAAGGGTGCCCTCTGGAAAAAGCCTATAAATGAGAATTCTTGACTCTTTTATAATGAAACATCAAGCGTTATCGATTCTTTAGATATTCAGGTACCCAAAATTGGAGAAAGTTAAAAATCAATTTTTTGACCCAAATATCGGGTTTTTCAGACATGCCTTAACAGGGATCGGATAATATAACAACAGGACATTTTCTCTACTCCCATCATCCCTGTTATATCAGGTTTCCACTGTATTTCTAGCTCATCCCCAGTATTTTTAGCCAATCCTCATTCTTTTTTTAGATTATATCCCCATTATTTTATAGCCCATCCCTAAAATGTTTTAGCTTATTTATCTAGTTCAGTAGTCCAGGGAGATGTATTATGTATGTAGTCCAGGGAGATGTGGGAGATGTAGGCCTATTATGTATGTAGTTCAGGGAGATGTATTATGTATGTAGTTCAGGGAGATGTATTATGTATGTAGTTCAGGGAGATGTATTATGTATGTAGTTCAGGGAGATGTATTATGTATGTAGTTCAGGGAGATGTATTATGTATGTAGTTCAGGGAGATGTATTATGTAGGTCAGTATGTAGTACAATGCAATTCGCACAACAAACACACCGTGTTGCTCATTTCATTCAGGACTTTATTTCATTACATGACTTTATTACAAATTGGGTGGAAAAACAATATTGCATAACTCACAGACATTGTCATTTCAAAATATTTGGTAAAATTAAAACTAGAACTAAAGGGACAAATTGGATGCAGTTTTATTTTCTAAGAGAGCATTTCATTCTTTCTTTCTTGTCTTACAAATTCTTATTATGACAGCTTTCACAGTCTTTTTGTGGGTTACCAATTCAATATACATACAGTAACATATATTATATATATAGAGAGAGATGTTCATGAAGTACACACACGTATCACCAAACTGTCGGGCTACAATGGAGGTTGGGGAACAACTAGCGGAGACTCCAGAGAGTGGAGGGGACACACAGGTGAGCTGTGTCGTACTCCATAGCACGGGCCTCACATCATCTCCCCTGTCATCACAAACATCACATCATCTCCCCTGTCATCACAAACATCACATCATCTCCCCTGTCATCACAAACATCACATCATCTCCCCTGTCATCACAAACATCACATCATCTCCCCTGTCATCACGAACATCACAATAATAATAATAATAATAATAATAATAATAATAATAATAAATGACATTTATATAGTGCTCATCCGCGATTAAAGTACACAGGGTCTAAGCGCTGTCCACTACAGTACACCGTACAACAGTAACATAAAACATTGTGTTCTGACTAAAAGAGAATCACTCCAAATATTCATTTTATTAATAAAAAAACAGACATGACTTCAGCTGACATTTGAATGAATCATGACAGAACAGCTATCGCCACACACAGCACGCATCCTGACAGTACAGCTATCGCCACACACAGCACGCGTCCTGACAGTACAGCTATCGTCACACACCGCGTCGCGACACGGGTGACAGAACAGCTATCGCCACACACAGCACGCATCCTGACAGTACAGCTATCGCCACACACAGCACGCGTCCTGACAGTACAGCTATCGCCACACACTGCGTTGCGACACGGGTGACAGTACAGCTATCGTCACACACCGCGTTGCGACACGGGTGACAGTACAGCTATCGCCACACACAGCGTGCGTCCGGACAGTACAGCTATCGCCACTCACCGCGTCGCGACACGGGTGACAGTACAGCTATCGCCACTCACCTCCTCACACCCACACCCACAAAGCCCAACATGTGGACTTTTGTTTTCTATTGCACTGTCTCAATCTGTGCTATCGGAGGCATGAGCTCAAGAAATATTTGGTCCACATTCAAATTGCACAAGTTGAAAACGCAAGAACAGATCACAGAATGTCTACACGAGTGTTCAAAGAACCAAATTGTTCTCTCTCTCTCTCCGAAATGAAATTGTACTTTTCTCTCTCTGTCTCTCTCTCTCTCTCTCCCTCCTAAAACTGTTCTCTCTCTCTCTCTCTCTCTCTCTCTCCCTGTCCCTCTCTCTCTCTCTCTCTCTCTCCTGAACAACTCAGCTTCCAGACTGAGAAGATGTGACCAGCTTGTAGAGGGCAGGCTCCGAGCACACAGATAGCTACATGGGTCAACACACATCAGGCCGGGAGGGAGGAGAGAGAGAGAGAGAGAGAGAGAGAGACCAAGAGAGAAAGAGAAAGATATAAAAAAGGATAGAGAGTGAGACAAAGAGAGAGAGAGAGAGATGGAAGACAAGAGAGAGAAAGAGAGAGAGAGAGAGAGAGAGAGAGAGAGAGAGAGAGAGAGAGAGAGAGA